TTGCCACATGGATTGCAGAATGTATTTTTGGCCAAGCATTAGCAACCTGATTGGTTAAATTCAATTCAAACAGTAAACCAATCATAACGAAGCAAATATCTAGTAATAGAGACTTTTAAGGGTTTACACAGAGGATGTGTTGATTTTTGGAATGGAAAATCATGCTTTCACAGGTCTAATGAGTGGATTGCATTGTTTTTCTGGAAATCTTTTATCTGTAATAATTTCAGTCATGTTTAGAATGTGGAGGTATATTGTATAGGTATAAGCGTTACACTGATCTATGCTGGTGCCAGACGTTATGCCCTTGAACAGTGTACCATCAGTGTTCTGTTACATACTGAATGTATAAATACAGTTTCTAACCTCTTTGTTCACTGCTCAAATGAAATATGTTGTTTTCACACATGGCGAATGTAAAGCCTGACTCAAAGCGTGAATCCATGAACAGATGGAGGGCAGATGTAATTTCATCAACTAATCCACTGAAATTATGCATATGTTACACCTGTTTCTGCTGCTGCCTGGGTTCCTTCATTTGCTTTCAGGTTGGAAAAGAGAGAGTGAGGACAGCTTGGCCGCTCAACAAAACCGTCCTAGGTTCCAGAATGACCGGCTAAACAGTGTTAAGGGGAATTCAACTGATTTTTCAAAATTTTGGCATAATGATTTCATTAAGATGTAAACAAATCAATCAGAGTGGTTTAATGTGAAAGATTCTGTTCAAGAGAGACTTACCAAGTAAGAACTGTTAAGTGGTGGTGATAGGAACCAGACGTCTGAAGAGTTTAATGCCTCTAAAAGCTCACTCACGGAAAGACGTTACATGAAATGATAATGAATACACTGATTATGCCTCATACTTCTGGCTTCATAAGGCAAAATAGTCCCCAAAAGAAAACATATATTTTCAGATTTACCGCTATTTTACCATCATAACCATTACATATAAAAACTCAGACGACGTGTACATTCACTGGTGGTTTTGGATGGTAAACAATATGACTATATTTTTAGGTTGTAGACATCAGCACCACTGTAAAGACATCTTAAGAAGTCTTAAGTTTCTTTAGATTGAACAGTTTTACATCAAACCACTCCTTGTTTACATCACAATGATTTAATTATGCAGACATTTTGGTGGAATTCCCTTTTAAATGCCAAATTGTTTGTAATATATAAAAATTAAGTATTAAAGGCCTGGCCCAGCATTATGGAGGTGGCCATGTTTCAGGTCCGAGCTCAATGAGAAGAAGCTTACTTTACTGACTTGCCCGTGACGAACTTTGAAGAAATAGTGGAAAATGTGTTGAAAACCTTTGAAAATTGTAAAGTGCGGTATCAGGAACAGGTGCGGAATCCTGTCTTTTACAGAACTTTTTTCCAAGTTGTGTCCATTGTGTATTGAGCCACGTCATCATCATACACTTCAAAGCCTCCACTCTTATCATAGTAGCGGAACTAAAAGGAAAGACTTTCAATGCTTCACAGTACCCATCAGCTGAGTGACTCTGACGTTTCCAAACAGAATTCACCCTGTCCTCAAAGCATCCGGCCATTTCCTTCTCTTTGGAAAAAAAAGAAAAAGAAGAGTGCTGTACAATGCCAGGCTTTCCAAAGTAAAAGAACATAGATCAATGCCTAGAGAGCGCTCCAGAGACACTGTGTTTTTATTAAATGTTCTGCCATCAAGCTACGTGTACCTGAGCCGTAGATCATTTAAACAAAGTCGTTAATCATGTGCGGGCACGGATATTGGAAACAATGGAAGGACTTGAGTGAAGATTATGGTGGAAAACGCAGCCGTAAAGCTTAGCATACGCTAGGAGAGGCTCTTCACCACCAGCCGAGATGGAGGAAGAGATCAGGCGTTGAATCTGATTGGGGTGATTTAGTTCTCCCGTTTCACAAATCCTGTGTTTTTTGCGTCTGGACAGGTGCTTTTTTTGATTCATATTAAGAGCAGCAAACAAGAAAGATGTCTTATGCAGGTGTCATAATGCAAAGCATGAAATAGAAATTGAGCTTTAAAGGGACAAAGTCCTATGCTTTTATTTTCTTTTTTTCCTGAGGTCCACTGTTGACATTTGTGGGGGTTTATGCGTCATGGCCATACTCTATCAGTTTGTATTCTTGTGCCTTTTAGACTGAGATATATACACGGTTCATTATCGCCAGGGGTATTTAATACTACATTTTCACAGTAAAATACTGTATTTATCATTTTATTGTGAAATCAACTCATCTTAAGATATTTTCTGTAGTAACACAAAATACTATAATAAGTAATTAAGATAACTACTGTGAGGTTGACATTGGGCTGTACCACAGCATTGAAAGAAATTACATGATATGACCGAGAGGCATAAAACATTTTAATAAAAACATTTGTTTTTTATAAAACAGGTGTTTAATTCAGATTTTGGTTACTTTAAAGTTTTTTGAAATTTTATGCTGGATTCTTTTTTATTTGGAGATGTTGGCAAAAAATATTGTATTGAATTAACAGATGTGAGTTTTTTGGTCATGTAAACTGTCTGTAAAATGTACGTTTGCATTTAAAAAAAGTGCATATACAGTGCAAAACATGGTGAATAAATGTGTCAGTTTTTTAATTTTATCTTTTTTTTTACTCAAAAAACCCACTCATAAATCTGGTAAAATTAAAAGTCAATTTTTCATATGTAAATTAAAAAAAAGATACAGTAGATTGCTGTATTTAATTACAGTTACATGTATTTTAATTATTACTGAGTGTACAGCAGAATGCATGCAGTTAGAGGTGACTGAAATCACAGTATACAGTTGCTATTTTACTGTTATTTACTGTTAATATAGTTCAGTAAATTCCAGTGAAAATAATGCAAGTAGTAACCAGTAATTTACTGTAATTTTATTGTGAAATTTAACAGTTGACTTTAAAGATTGACTTCCCTATATTGCTCCTCATAAAGGCTGAATAGGTGGATATATGTAAAAATGTTGGTTTCTGACATATTTACATATTCACACAAAATAATTATTTAAAAATGACTGTTTTTGCTGCTTAGATTTCAAATAAGGACTGTATGAAACAGGATCAAACAGTATGTTTTATACCTTAACAGTGTTCACATGTTACATCAGACTCTTATTTCAAAAAAGTGAAGCAAATACCTTTCCATGAAAAAGGCCCTTTAAGACTGAGATACCTAAATGAGCTCTGTTCTGATCAACTGCCCTGTATTATGCCTTAATTATAAAGCAGATTTTACATTCATAAACGACCGCTTTAGGCTAAATAGGTAGATCAACAGGCTGAATAAGTGTACATATATAAATATATTGTTGTTTGTGACATCACAAAAACAATTATTTGTGTTTTTGAATACTTTGTTAACAGTGTTTAAATATTACATCAAACTCTTATTTTACAAAAGTGAAGCACATTAGTTTTCTCTTATGTGTGCAGTCAAGAGCTCAGCTAATCTCATGCTGATCTCAATTTTGGCAAATATTTATCGTGAGATCCCTGTGTCATGAGTGTAAGGCCTTTACTGACCAAATGAAATCTCTCCAGCATCTCAGATGAAGCACATATACAGGTGTGTGGTTATAGAGAACCTGGCAATCGACTGCAATTTGGTTTAGGGCAGGCAGCTTAGTGTAATGCTGAGCTCATGTTGGAGAGAGTCCCCTATCAAGGCTTTTGAGGGAAATTACAGGCCTAAGGATGCTGTCTGAAACCAAGGGCCAGTAAAGCACTGCAGCCTTCCCTGTATTACATTAACCGCAGCGCAGCTCATTTGTAAAGTGTCACCCTCTCCCCGGCTGTACACAGAAACATTAAATCTACCAGATCTACTGCACTGGACTGTGCTTTCAGGGGCTCGTGGGGTTGCCTGGGAGAGTATGAGCGCTGCCATGCATGTGTATGTGTGTGAGACTGTGTGTTTTTTTTCTATGGTATGTGGGGCTTGTCTGTCAGCGGTGTGTCTGATTTCTCTGTAGGAACAGCTTTTGCCGCTGTCCAGGTTTATTTCAGCTGATAGCAGCAGCCCGCAGTGTAGAACATCAAGCTGTTTCATGTTCAGTGACGTTAGCAGGAGCCGAATTGGTTCTTGTAGAACCGTTTTAGATGGATGAGCAGAAACCTAAGGATGGCCAAAATATAATCATAATTCTTGAAGGCATTTTCATGATAAAACAATATTAATCATGATATTTTGTTTTGCAAAAGTAGCATCAATAAAAATACACCATTTCTATTTGCACAAATAAACTATTTAATCAGAAACAGAATACAAAATGTTAACAAGTGGGAAAATCAGCAAAAAAACACTTTCTTCAAAGGCTCCCTACATAGGAACTTGAATAACGAGCATTTATGAATGGCTTATGCCATTAATCTCAAGATGACTTATAATGTTTTGTGATGTAAATGACATTGTACTGACATAGATTGTATTACTTGGGAATGATGCTTCATAAAGGGGTTATAAATGGAACAAATGTCCCTTTAAGATGTCATTTACTTAATAAAACATCTTATCCTGCGAATACTAGTGAAGCTGTTCATAAATATTCTAGTATTGCTTTATAAATACTATACTCAATGCTTATGCATGTACTATAAAGCCTCTATGAAAGTGTTACCAAATAAGCTGCCTAAATAAACTGGCTACTTAGACCAGTTTGACCGTACATTCTAAGGTTTTGTTAAAAAAGAGATTTTTCATGCTCCAATAACTTCACTGTGTAGTTTGCAAGCAATCAGACCCTTGGGTCATCTGCTTCACCCAGAACAGAGTGCAGCTGCTCAGAGCTGTGGCTTGCTATTCTGTAAATATTTTGCAGGTGCTTGCAGAGGATTTTTTGTGCATTATTCAAAAGTCCCAAGACCTTGCATTGGATAACTGCAGTGAGCATTGATAGAACATGCACGAAAATACACGTACCCTAGCTGAATAAATTGGTGGCGATGGAGTCGCTATTATTGTTTTTCACTCTTTCTCTTGCAGACACATAGAGAACTGGACAGGACTGCAGATTCTAAAGGATATGGACATGGAGCTGTACACAGGACTGCAGCGGCTGTGAGTACAATAACAACAGCTGGATTCAGTACACTCACACCCTGCAAAATCTGTTTCAAGTTTACTCAGGTGGTTTATGGAAACTGATTGAAATCATCCGAGCTATCCCAAGTGACGGAAGTGAAAGTTTTGTTTGTGTTTGTTGTGGAGTTTTTGCAACTAAATTAAGAAATGCCAGCTAAAATCACTGTCTTAAACAATGAAACAGATGAAGTTTTATAGTTTGTATATATTGTACTGTTGTTTTTACAAAGCTTGTACCGACCATGGCAAAACTAGGAAATACCAACATAATTCTTGACTACATGAAATAAGGCAAAACACTTAACCTTCTAACAGACCATCAAAGACCAAATATCAAACCTTAACAGACCACTGATAGACCGAATATAAAACCCTAAACAATCTAAAAGACCAAATATTAAACCCTAAACAATCTAAAAGACCAAATATTAAACCCTAAACACTGTAAGAGACCAAGTATTAAACCTTAAACACTCGGAGAGACCTAACATCAATCCCTAAACACTCTAAGTGACCAAATATTAAACCCAAAATACTCGAAGAGACCAAATATCAAACCCTAAACACTCTAAGAGACCAAATATTAAACCTTAAACACTCTAAGAGACCTAATATCAATCCCTAAACACTCTAAGTGACCAAATATTAAACCCAAAATACTCAGAGACCAAATATCAATCCCTAAAAACTCTAAGTGACCAAATATTAAACCCAAAATACTCGAAGAGACCTAACATCAATCCCTAAACACTCTAAGTGACCAAATATTAAACCCAAAATACTCAAAGAGACCAAATATCAATCCCTAAACACTCTAAGTGACCAAATATTAAACCCAAAATACTCGAAGAGACCAAATATCAAACCCTAAACACTCCAAGAGACCAAATATCAAACCCTAAACACTCTAAGAGACCAAATATCAAACCCTAAACACTCCAAGAGACCAAATATCAAACCCTAAACACTCCAAGAGACCAAATATCAAACCCTAAACACTCTAAGAGACCAAACATTATATCCTAAACTCTCAAAAAGACCAAATATTAAACCTTAAACACTCTGAGACCTAATATCAATCCCTAAACACTCTAAGGCCCAATCCCATTTCACCCCTTGCCCCTACCACTTAGCCCTTTGCCCTTTGTTTTGCACGTTCATGTCTAGGGTTAGGGTGTCCCAATTTTTGTTAAGACAGAGGGGTAGGGCGAAGTGTTAGGGCTATATGGCCCTCCAAATGGAGGTTTTTCAGAGGCACACTCCGAACAGAGTGTTATGAAGAAAAAAAAAAGAAACACAGACAAGATGGCTGTGTGAGCGTACAAAGAAACCCACAAATGTAAGTATTTTCTCCGTTAAAAATTACAATAATCATTGCTTTATCTTAATTTAATGTCGTTTCAATGTATTATGGTTGTTTTCTTCGTAACAAGCATAAAAAATCGCTAAAAGTATGTTAATATCTCTGTAGCTAGCTAGCTAATTTTCCCGTTCCACCTTAAATAGTTCAGCAGTTCTGACGCCTGAAGCGCCAGAATGTAACTGCTGCACCATTTAAGGTGGAACGGGAAAATTCGAACAAGAAGCTGGAGATTAGCTGACTTCAGCTTCGTATCACCAGTGAGCGATAATTAATAATTGTTGTATCCCCCCTCTTTGAAAGCATATGATGTCCTAAATGTAACTAAAGCCCAGCAAGGTTGCTGAACTTTTCCCTACTATACTATCACTGAAGTCGGGCCGGGTCACCTACTGAGCACCACTAGTAGCCTGTTAATGAAGCAGTGTTTTTTTTTTGTTTTTTTTATTTGAGGGTTGTCCCATTTCGTAGGGCAAGATTTCAACCACTACCCTCTGTAACTCCGTTCCATGGGTTTAGGGTGACACTCGAAAACAAGGGGTAGAGGTAAAAAGAAGAAATGGGACTGGGCCTAAGAAATTAAATATGAAACCCTAGACACTGTAAGAGACTAAATATCAAACCCTAGACACTCTAAGAGACTAAATATCAAACCCTAGACACTCTAAGAGACCAAATATTAAACCTTAAACACTCCAAGAGACCTAATATCAATCCATAAACACTCTAAGTGACCAAATATTAAACCTTAAACACTCCAAGAGACCTAATATCAATCCCTAGACACTCTAAGTGACCAAATATTAAACCCTAAACACTCTAAGAGACCAAATATCGATCCCTAAACACTCTAAGTGACCAAATATTAAACCCTAAACACTGTAAGAGACCAAATATTAAACCCTAAACACTCTGACAGATCTTCATTATCTCCTTCTGCAGACCTCCTGCAAAGCCTCTCCTTCCTTCCCTTTGACCCCACCCCATACTTTCCTTGACTTCTGTCAGATCCTCACTTCCTCTTTTCTCTCCTTCTCCATACCCTAAAGACAGAGCAGTCCTATCCTTTCCTCTTGATCCCTTCTTGATCAGGAAGACTTAGTGCAGTATCCCCCACTCCGATTAGCATTTTTCTCATTAACATCATGCTCTCCCCCTATGCCACTGGTGGGTTCTTGTAGTGCTTCCCACGTTGGGGGCTGCCTCACACTCCCCAGGGCATCTGAGTCAATCACTGAGTCCGCTCAAGGTCAAAGACGGTGTCTGTTTTTGTTGAACTCTCTACTTCACACCCTTATATCTCATTAGATATCAACAAGACAGGAAGTGTTCACTGCACACAAATAATACAGATTCTCTATTAAAAAGGAAAGTTAATGAGAATCGTTGGTTTGAGACCATCTCAGCACATCTGAGGAGCTTTCAGATCAAGATAGTCTCGCAGGGCCGGACATGATCTCGTAATGAGAACATCTGGGGATAACCATGAGAAATTTTGGGTGGGAACAGATTTATTAGGGTGGGAACAAACTGAGTGTGAAATTTAGAACCCAGCCCCACACGCTGTGAAGGCGGAGCTTCAAGTAGCTTCAAGCACTATGGTGCGCTCATCAACATTGTATGGAAAACAAGCCTGTTCTTAGTCCCTGTATGTAACGTATGTTAGTATTGCTGAGAAGTCCTCATAAAATTAAACAGTTAAACGTGTACATGTGTTGCATGTGTGGAGAACATGTTACATGTGGTAAAAACAAACATTTTCTCTTGCAAGGGAACAACAGCATGTTTAGCTTGTGTTACTGATTTTTCCCCTGGGCATTAAAAGAGAGTGGACTGGAAGAATTTGGAACATGTTTTAGAGGGGTTGTACCTTTGTTAGGGGTAAATTTTGCTGCAATATAGCACCAAAAGTCTAACAAGTTGTCCTTAGATATGTATTCTTGTTATGAGATCATGTCTGCCCTGCAAGACAGAGGAACCAGGGTTCAACTCGTTCAATCTGCTGTGCCGAGCAGGGTTTATACTGTCAAACAAATTTTTGATCTTAAAAACATTTTTCAAATATAAATGAATAAGTGCACAGAAAATCTCTACAAAACTATTCATTTATTCTTAAAAACTATTTATCATCGTCTTCTTCTTCTTATTATTATTATTATTTTTATTATTATTATTATAATATGTATCACATGTATTTTGCTCTTACTCTTTGGTGCAAAAGCAGTCATAACAAAGCAGGTTAAATATGTGCTTTATATTTTCAAAGAATTCCTCTGTTGTCATTTGTATTACCTAACCCTACCTTACCCTTACCCTATTATATACATACATGCACACTTGCAGAATTTTGAATGCTGAGTATTCGTGTGAATCTGTGGACAGTTGTAATCACTGAGAGCGAAGTGACCATCTACAAATTACATTGCAAATAGTGATCATCGGGGTCCAAGCACAGCGCACCAGACAATATAGGCTTTTTAACAGAAAACAAATGGTGATCAAATAAGATGTCTGCTAAATATCTTACACATTGACCTTTTGAAGTTGAAACTACAATTTTTAGGCTGGTATTTGCATAAATGTGGAATTCAGTGAACTAAATAATTCTATAGGTATTACCCCTCTACTTTAGTCTCAGAGTGCATCAGAATGCATTATGTTAAAATCACTAAAATTTTCTCCTAGGAACGGTGCTGCCTGACTTGTGTGTATGACTATTGTAAAGCACTTCTGATGAGCGAGTGGCCTTTTTTGCTCATATATTTGTTGAATACCAACAAACAATATTTGGCTCGATTTTACTCAACACACAGCTGGATTACACCATTTTTCCACAGTGAGGGGATGATTGCATATAAAAGTGAGACAATATCAAGTCCGGTTGTTCACTGTCAAAAGTACCCTATAGTTAAACGTCAGTTTGCCTAATGCTGCTGTCCTGAATTAATATTTTACTTGCCCTGGGCATTTGAACCCTGGGAACTATTGGTGGAGTACTTTTATGCAAAATAATAGTACTGATCTATTGAAAGTTTTACTTTAACAAGGAACTTCCCCATAAATTTTTATAAGTTGGAAGCAGGCCTGCTGTGAATGCAGTGCTAAGAAAGTTTCTAAGCTTTCAAGGCCTAACTGTGAAGAAGTAAGAAGCCTGAATAAATAATGAGCATTTTCCTTTGTCCTTTCCAACATGTTGAAGAACACTGACAGATCGTGTAATGTTGTCTGGCATCATAGCCTTCATAATAAAGGTAATTCTGTAATAATTACCAATCACTTGATGAGTATAGTCACTTTTTGCAACAACTTTCTGTAATAATCACACTACAACGACTGCCATTTATGCCTTTTTAGGAGACTCTTCATTCCAGATGCTACATGAAATCATCAAGGTGAAATTGTGGCCTCTGATGATGCTATTATTCTAATGATTGCCAGAAAATTATCCTGGCAGGCCCTAATGAACTGGTAGCATTCTCATTTTTGAAAGTTTAACTTGCAATACCCCTTGCAAATGATCAATAATGGAGGCAGTTTGGGGCGAACTGGTTGGATGGACAGGTGAAGGGCAGTATAAGCAGCACAACAAGAATATTCTGTGTATGAGCAAAGCTGGAGCTTTAGTAATCTGACTGAAACCAATTTATACTCCTCATTTAATGTGACAGGTGGCGGTGAGAGTTACTGTAACTCTTTCTTTTCCTAATGCCAATTTTGTTTTTTCCTCTATAGGACTATCACAAACTGCAATCTACGAACAATTCAAGCTCGTGCTTTTGCACAAAATCCCCATCTCCGTTACATGTGAGTACTGTTTTAAGTACATTTAGGTGCTGAATGTTTTGCCTGACTGATAAATCAACATTCTTAATGCAAGAGTGAACATGTTTAGTTCATTAATTCAAACAAAAAAAAAAGTTTGACTTAGTGGCGTTAGTTGGCTCTCTGGTTCATGCCTATGCATGAGCACTCCAAGTGGGCGGTAACAGTCTCCATTACGGGCAAACAGACAGGCTGAGCTGGAGTAGCTCATCAGCATTTAATGAATGGGATAAAAGTCATTAAGAGGCTGCCTTCACTTGAGTCACAAATGGAGCAGATGGACATGCTAATTGTGGAGTCATTAAGGACGTGGATGGGAGCTTCACCGACAGAGCTGATGATTGCTTATGTCTTATTTGAAAGTGCAGCCTTAAAAGGATTAAAATGCCAGCGACTGGAGTTGCACAATGAAAGTGGACAACTAGTCACGAAGCCAGAGTGAATGAATGCCAAGACAAAATGTTTTAATGCAGACAGTAAGGTTCATTAGATGTTTTCCTTTGAACTATATGAAGTAAATTAGTGTTAATATTATGAAAACCAGGGCAACTTTAACCTGTGGGTTAAAAGGAATTCAAAGGAACTGTGGGTGGTTTCAGACTTCCTCATAACTACACTGCAGGAAACCATAACTTTATGAATATATCTAATATTTCTCATTATGAGATTGTAAGAATATTCAGATAATCTAATATTCATATCCACAACATATTTTAAGATGTTTTTAAGCCATTTACTCTATAGAAATTGTTTTATTCTATTGGCAGATATTTTTGCTGGTTTCAAGACAAAAGAAGATACTTATGCTTGAAAATGCTTGAAACAAGGAAAATTATATTATAGAAAATAGACTTAAAAACATGTTAAAATATCTAGTAATAAGATTATTTAACTAATTTTAAGTCATTTTATCAAGAGAAATTTCTTATTCTGTTGGTAGATTATATTGCTTTTTTCAGAAAATATGCTTTAAAAATGCTTGAAACAAGAAAAAAATCTATATTGTTATAACAGTTTCAGAATGATAAACATTACTGGGCAAAAGTTTGTCATTTAAATTCTAATGAAGAATCAAAGTCCACTTAATTAAAAAAATCAAAAGTTGTTTCTGTTCATCCTTCCATTGTGAGAAGACTACTCAACTCTGTGGGTCTGAAAGGATGTGTAGCTGTCAAGAAGTTCTTACTGAGAAAAGGAAACAGACAAAAAAGAAGAACATTTGCTAATCAAGCAAATAAGCTGCTGATGTTCTCAGAGCAGTTGACTGACAACAATGAATTGTGAGAAGCAGAAAATGCAACTAACTTCTAAAACAACTGTGAAGGTGTGAAAATATCTCTTTGAAATATATCTTCTTTGAGAAACTGAAAGCGAGTCTCCTGAATAGAATGGAAAGATAAAGAGTGGACACACTAAATACTGAAAAATCTGATATTATATTTAGTTGTTTGAATCTTCTGTGGAATTGTCTGTCATGTTTTTTGTTTCTTTTCGTGGCGGTGAAAAATGAATAACTTGTACTTAATGGCCATTTTGACTATTCTGAATGCCGCACAGTACTCCACTAGATTTAAGATTTCACTTGCCAAAATGTTTTTTTTTTTGCAGTATACTTAATTTTCTTATTAGTTTCATAGTAGTTCCTAAATAATTTATAATAGTTACTGAAAATGCACTTTAGATTAATTACTGGATAGGCCTGGAAATTAAGGGTTTGAAGTCATGGTTAATATGTTGAACGAATAGATTACCTCTGGGACTGTTCGGTTTGTCATAAACATGATATTGTGATTACACGTTGGACAATGAAATATCTGATACCCATTTTATTGCAAAATGCATTTTACTGACATATTTAATAAATATATATATATATATATATATAATATATATATTTTGAGTAGGGTATCGTAACATCAGTTCATTTACTGGTAAATTAGCTTTAAACTGTAACGATTGGATCTAGAAAGTCCCACAGCCAGTTCATCAGACTTCCAATCAATCTGGCAAACAGCAGTTTCAACCCAGCAGATGCACAGCTTTTGTGGATCAATGGATCAATCATATTTCACTAAACAGTTTTTAGCTTCATGTCCATCAGTTAACATACACAACATGATTCACAAACAGCCTGATGGTTGGTCCTCTGTGTTTGATCCTTCAGTTCCTTCCGTTTTTCACCCGGCACTTTGCTAAGCCTTCATTGTGCCTTGATGAGGAGGTTCAGTCTGGGTGGTCAGACGCTGCGCCCCCTTCCCCCTCACATTGAGGCAATATAAATCTGAAGGGCCCATTGTCATAAGGGAAGAGTAAAGGTCAGGTCCCGCTGTGAGGGCTGAAAGTCTGTTCCTCATTAAGCCTGTCCCAGCCTACGTAATGCTCTATTCTAAAATGTCACTTTAGCAAAACTCCTTTCAATGTTACCTCGTTCAGTCGGGGCAAATTATGAAGTGTTTACCCTCACCTGATTGAGCCGGCCTGCTTTGGCGTTAGAACGTCGCTTAGGCCAAGCATTTTGTAGCAACCTCACAGAACTTTTAAAGTATATTTTATAGTGCAATGAAATGATTATACTTGGCATCATTGCTATTAACATATAGCAGTGTCTTCAATATAGTATGACAACTGTTACAAGATCTGGGGCTTAGGGCCTAAACTGGAAAAGATATATACATATAGTTGAACAGTAACAATGATGTGAGTTTTCCTTAAAAGTCCTAGTTGTTTAATCGCTGTCCAAATAATGTGTCTCCATTTTGTTGATTTTTGGTTTTGTACACCATTTGAACATGGCAGCTGTGTTTTAAATAATAATAGCGAATGGACTAACAGAAATGCTTCAGAGTCAGTTGAAATTAAACCTCTTTACATGAACTACATTAAACATCATGACCAGTTTGACTCTTTCTGTGAAGTTATCATGTTTTTTTGACAATATGCAAATACTTAACTGAAAAAGTTAAATATTAAATATTGTTTAATTGTGTTTGCCTTTAGAGAGTACTGTGCAAAAGTCATAGACCATCCTTCATGTACTTACCTTCCTGTCAAAATGGACATTAAGTAATACGGTTTTCAATGTCAAGAAATAAAAAGCAGAAAACACAGAAATACAGAAAACAGAAAATGGATAACGTACTTAACATGTACCTAATGGCTGTTTTGACTGGTGGTCTCTGACGTTTGGACAGTACTAGACACTGACAGACCACTTTATTAGGTACACATACCTTGTATCTGCTCTCACTGGGCCTCATTCACCAATATCTTTCAAGGTTTTTGCTTTCTTAAGAACAAATTTAGAGCCGCTTTTGTGCCACTTTCATCTAACATAAAGAATTATGTTAAAGCCTGTATTGTTATTAAGAATAGCAGTAATTTTAATGCCTCTTGTGTACAGTAGCCAGGTTTCTATGCAGCTGTTAAATTAAATTCAAGTGTATTATTGAAATGTTGCAGAAGAAATTTTGCAAATTAAAACTATCACATTCTGCTATTGTATTTAAAAGTTTAGGCACCTCTGGTCAGAAATGTTTTGTTAATTCCTATTTGAAAATTTATTTGCTGAATTTAACATTTTGGGAAAAAGTACAAAATGTGGCCTGTGCAGAAGTAATGGCACATTTACATTTTATGTTTTATATTCATTTAGAAAATCAACAAAATGTAATTTGACTTTTGCAGAAATGGGATCAGTTCAGACTAGCGATGATAAAATAATGTGGACAGCTACTGAGTCATTTTTATAGCACCGCAGTAATATTATTGCAGTCATTTCAATTCACATACTTTTATTGCTGCTCTCTCATTTCTAAGGTTTTGTTTTTCATCAGTCTGGACGGTATTTATTTGATTGTAGATAATCAGTCCTACATTTTGCATGGTAGGAGGTATTCTTAAAGCTTCCATTTTGTACTGAGCTCTTTGTATCAATGGACCCGCATGTGTCAGGCACTGCAGCACAGCCAGGTAAGAGCTATCCAGCTTAATCTTACCTAAGATCTTACCTAAGAGCTTTCTTCAGCTTGGCTCAGTGAAGCCTAGTTTCCTCTGGAGCTCTCTCTTATATTTTTGTGGTATTCTCCTCTCATGGAGGGATACTTTACCTCAGGCAGGCACTTAATCTGCAGAAGGAGGAGGTTTAGATAAACTTCTTTTTTTTGGTCATGAGTACTTTTGACAGACTCCAGACTATATCTGAGAGGATCTGTATATAGTTAAGTAAGATTAGAACGGTAGCAAAACAGCTTTTGTCTTGTTGGAGGACCTAGTAGTGGGTGGTATACCAGTTCAATCAGTATACTCGTCGAAGTTCTTCCTCAGGCATGGGTTTCGTCAGAAAATGAAAACACAGCAGACCCTCAATCACCTCCCGCTGTCTAGTCCTTTGCATCCGAAGTAGTTTACTTTGTTTTCAAGGCAGTAGATATAAAAGAATTGCTGGTCTTTTAAGGTTAGCCTTAACATAGCATGGACATTAGGAGCTGCTGGACTTGGCCAGCTGAATCAGATGGCATTGCGGTCTCCCAGCATTGCCTGCGCAAGAAGCCAGAGACCAGCTAGTACTGAAGAATTAATGACTGTAATACTTTCTATGTTCCAGCAGTGACGGTCAGAGGCATGAGTGTACAGGAGTGTACAGGATGCACATATGACACGAATGACTTCAAAATTTAATGAAGCTAAAATTGGCTTCTTATTCAGATTTCCTGTTCCACCTTAAATGGCGTGGTTACAGCACCTGCACAGTTTTAATGGAAAATAATAACAAAAAGCTGCTGAATCTATTTATTGCTCAGTTTCTTACTGTTTTCTACACAATAAAAACAATTTATATTTAATAGTTCTTTAATAGTTCATATGAAAAAAGTGAGGCAGCATCTCACAGTAATAAGCCACTGTTAATCTACAAGAATAGGTTTAATTAGGCATTTAAAATGGTTTTATTTAAATATATATATACTGTGATGTTCACCGAAACC